TGTCCTCATGCAGTTGGTCCCCAAGCCTCACACTTCCTTGGCGTCCCTAATACTATCACCACTGTGCAGCCTCCCTAGCCCCTGCCTCAGTCCTTGTGTACAACCACCCCAGGAGCTTTTGGTTGCCTCCTATCACTTCAATTCAAAAGCTTCATTGTTTACAAAGTGCTTTCTATTACCTGATTTCACCTACTCAGCTTTTCTACCAATTTCCAGGTCCAGCCTGTGTGGTTTCACCATCATTTTGCCAAATTTTCCTTGCCCAGCTCTTGTTATTTCCATAGTGAGTGAGGAACGGCCTGTTCTTCATGTCTTACATAGCAAATCCTGCACACACTCCTCACCATAACATTAAGTCTCTCCTTACACACTCTGCACAAAACACAGGGCCTGCCAGGGACTGGGTACCAAGGACTCATGTCCTCCCAGAGCTGTACTTTGCCTTTTTGGGCAGCTGTTAGAAGAATATTCTTAGGTTGAACCTGAGGAAATTGGTTCCCTGTAACTTCCCTCCTATTTCCAATCCTTGGACCTTATGGAACAGAATGAATCCCACTTTCACCTATCAGTTTGTTGCTTGGCCACCTTCTTCCCTTGGAAGCCTCCTTTCCAGATGAGACACCTCTAGGTTTACCACCTGGGTCCACTATTTTGAACAAGGTATTTAATGTGGGTGAGGTTTACCACCTGGGTCCACTATTTTGAACAAGGTATTTAATGTGGGTGACAGTGTTCTGATGTCCTAGATACAGTCTCTGGCTAATTTCAGCATCTCCAGCAGTGTATGAAATACCACTGCAATCCCAGGCAGAGGTATGGCTCCCACCAGCTCAGCAACTCCTTAAGGTGGGGCATACTGCATCTCCACTGAAAGGGGTGATCTGACTTGTTAGGTGATATGACACCTGATATTTGGGGTTAAAAGATGGGAGGTGGCCACGGCTCCAAAATGCTCCACCTTCAGCAAATACTGGAAAACTGATATTGGCACACTCGCCTCTGTCCTGTTCCAGGGGGCAAATGGTGGGAAGTGTGGAGCATGAAGCTGTGCAACCAGCTGCATGGCTCTGAACCTCACCCAGATCCACCAGGACAAGTTAATCTCCTAGAAACCAAATCTTTGTTCAGCTAAAGGAACCTCCTTAAATGCAGATAGGGGGCACCAGCCCCACCTTCCACACCATGGAGACAAAAGACTCCCCTTTCCTGGCTGTGGCTTTTAGGAGCTCTACTGACCTGCCTCTACTTCCACTCCCCCCTCCCCTTCTTCCTGCACATACTCAGTGGTCCCCAACCTTTTTGACACCAGGGACCAGTGTTTCTCTGAGAATCTGATACCTGATGATCTGAGGTGGAACTGAAGCAGTTATGCTACTGCTGGGGAGTAGCTGCAAATACAGATGAAGTTTTGCTCCCTCGCCCGCATTCACCTCCTGCTCTGCGGCCTGGTTCCTAACAGGCCACAGCCTGGTACTGGTCCGTGGCCCAGGCATTGGGGACCCACTGTAGAGAACAGTGGATGCCACGAGGATTCCTCAAGTGGATGGGGAGAGGGGAGGCTCAACATTTGAATTCTGGACAACCCCACCCATGGGCCTGTTTATACCCTTAGATTATTATCCACCTGAGAAGACTGACAGCAGCTGTTTGTTTTCAGAACCACACCCCCACCCCCATCCCATGACGAGACCGGCTCCCTCTCCACTCATCACCCTACATAGCAGAGTTCCAGCAGTCTCAAGTGAAGACCAGCTAAGATACAAACTGCATATCTCCTGGGGCACTGGACATTGCTCTACTGGGCACCAGGTGAAGCCTGGATGCCCAGGTGTCTCTGAGGAGCTGGGCAAACTGGGAGACAGAACGGAGTATGGAAAAAAGGAGAGGTAGCACCTAGCCAGAAAACCTGGGAAGAGGTGGGTCCCAGGCTGGATCATCCCTTATCCTACCCTATTTCACAGGCCCAGGCTCCACCCTGCACAGCTCCCAATGTGAGGTGCTGGACTCGGCTGTTGGCAGAGTATTTGAGTTGAGAGTTTGCTCCACGGTCCCTGGAGGAACATCTATTTACAGCATAGCCGTCACAAATGAGTGAGGTCCCCGACGCGTTGGGGGGGGCCCAAGTGTCTGGCATAGCCAGGTATCCATCCATCCATCCATCCATCCATCCATCCATCCATCCATCCATCCAATCAACAAGCTATCCCAGTTCTCAGGAAACCCGTTATTCATTTTCTTAGTCATTTCTATTCGAGTTAAAGATCGCCTCTCCAATTCCTCTCTAAACCGCAGTGTCTTATGGTGTCCGGAACTTGGCTCTCCCCGGGCCCAATCATCTATTGCCTCGCCCGTCGTCCGCCCCGCCTTATTTCCCCTAACTGTGGCTTTCGGTCCTCAGGCCCGACCTCCTCTGTTTCGTCATTCGGTTGGTTGCCCCCAAGTATCCCTTGTCTCGGGGAACGGGCACCCAGCGTGGATATTGTTGGCCACTTCTGTCGCCATGGTGACTATTGCAAAGCCCCACCTCTTCACCCCAGGAAGGCCTCCAAGGAGCCTGTCACCATGGCAACGAACTCTTGTGGCTCTTCCCTCGCACTGGCCGAACCCTGCTGCGTGGATCCGAGGAGTGAAAATAAGGCGGAATTAATGAACGTGAGGCCACGCCCCTTCCGAAGAACTTTGTGTCCAGCCCCAGCCGCAGCTGCAGCCCAGCCTAGGCCCGAAATACCATCTGTGTCTTCCCTCCTGTTACCCTCAGGGCCCACTATCGCTGAAGCTCCACAGCAAGTCCTCCCGGACCTCTCAGGGTGACCCCTTCAGGGAGTCCAGCTTCAGCTACCCATAACCCCCCCATAATCCTAGGTCTTTCCGTCGCAGTTATATTCAGAAGGGGTTCAGAGGACACTGAAGTTCCCTTTTGTCTCCCCTTTGACCTCTTCGCTTTAAGGAGGCCCCGTTCTCTGATTCTTTTCATCTATCACTCTGTCACTAATTCAACAGACATTAATGCAGATGCCAGATGCTCTTCCCCTGGCACCTACATAAATTACTGATTTTAATACAATGTTCTTATTTCATTTATCCCAAGGTTCTTGGGGGGCGCGTAGCAACATGCTTTTTCCTCCCGTGTTTCTTCTTTCCCGTCCGCCTTTCGTGGCGTGTCTCCGTCTGTTTCTTCCCATCTTCCTCATCAGCACCCCGAAGCCGGATGGTCTAGGACAGTAGCAGGAACCCTCCTGCAAGGCCCAGCCCCAAACCTCCAGACTGGAAATTGGAGGAGGTGATTCGTTCTTGAACGCCGAGAACTTCCCACAGTCCACCGACCCTTTAAGTAAAAACCTTGAGCATCTCACAGAGAGAATGACCTGGCAAGATTGCGGACAGAGTAGAGTTGCTGGAGAAGCCCAGCAGGCTTCCTGGCTCCGGGAATAAACTGGGTGCCCGGGGCCCGCCCACGGCCGCTCATTGGTTGCTGAGCAGTCTCCCGAATTCCGACCTGGGCAAGATGTGCCACTATGACACCACCTTCCGGAGAAGCCGCGTAGTGCTCTGAGGGTCCACTGGGGCGAGCCGCCTGAACCCCGATGCCGGGCACGCCCTTCCCAGGTTCCCAGTCGCCAGGCAGAGAGCTGAGCTCCGGCCTGGGAGCCGCCTCCGCGTCCTGCGGAGAGCGCTGAAATGCAGCCAGGCGCGGAGAGTGCGCCAAAGCCTGTGGGCGTTAGAGCTCAGACCCGCTGACCTGAAAATGAGTTTAGGCGAGGCGCGGGGGCATTGGAAGAGGTGCTGGCTTTCCGGAACCCACAGAGGGCACTGAGCTGAGGACGGTCACTCGGGACCCTGATGCCTTCGGTTTTCAATTTGTGACTGTGCCACATCTTTCCCATCTTGGAAAATGTTTTCACCAGTCACCCCCTTGTGCAAGCCTATTTCCCCCTGCCCTCACCTTATATTCAGTCTAACTCCAAATCTGTCCTGTCTTATAAATATATCTCAGATTCAGTCACTTCTTGGCTTCCCTGCTTTACTTCTGCTGGACCAAGCCGCCATCTTGTGACTGGGCTCAGAAATAACTTCCTAACTGATTTCCTGCCTCAGTAATCTCTTACGAATGGGAAACTGATCATGTTACATCTCTGCTGAAATCCCTTTGTCAATCAATGGTTTCCACTACCTAAGTGCTCCCAGAAGCATTCTGCCCCCTACCCCCTTACCCCATTATTGCTTGTTGAGTTGTCTTAACCCACCAAGACTGTATGCTCTGTGAAGGCAGTGTAAACAATAATATAACTAAAATGGAGCTGCAGCTGCCATCTCAGAGGAACTTTCTTGCCCATTTTATGCCTCAAACCTTTAGAACGTTAAAACAGGGGAAAATAACCTTTGAATTGTGCCTAAGGCAACATTGTGTCCCAAAGAACTGTTTGCAAAGATAACAAGAAAGCAATTATGACTACAGGACTGATGACTATTGGGCTGAAAATTAAAAACATTGTTTAGAATTAACATCCCTATGTTATGTTTTCTGCACCAATAGAAACTCCTTCCCTCTGCTGATGTAATTATTCCTCTTCCCCTTCTCATAAATACCCATTGCCTTTGTCTCCTAATCAGAACATTATTTGGGCTTCTGCCTGAATCTATGCTTCTTGTGTAGTTAATGATCTCAAATAAACGCTGTTGCCTATCAACTTTGAAAGACCTTTTGTTTCTAGGTTGACAGCAGGGACTTGACGCAATGTTATATTCCCAATATCTGCTGCAGTGATTCAATACATGTCTGTTGAATGAGTATGAAAGAATGTTTCCTTCTTATTCTCCTGTTGCTGGACACCTGTTCCCAAGCCAAGATGTAGGTCTCAGAGTGGCTGTGGGTGAGGACACTCTGTCCCTCTGGCTGTTCAGGCACTAATTTCCACCCCTAATGGGTGTTGCCCTCTCCTTCCTCTTGGCCAACTTCTCTTCCACCGATATAAGCCCAGACTGGAGGCTGGTGGGCAGTCATGCATTTTATGGCAGGCCCTGCACGTAGCCAGAGCCTGGGGCCCCTGTGCCTCCACAGCACACCCCAAGCTCTGTACATGGTCCTCTTAACAGTGCTGGTCATGATGAGCTTGGTGTTTGGTAAGTGGCTCTAAGGGGTATGAAGGGTCTCCTGGCCTGCTGGATAGAGAAACCCACAGACACCCGGTGTCTGGGTACATCTGCCCAGGATGCACTAGTAAACCCAGGCAGAGGAAAGATGGGATGAGTGGGCTTGGTGGGATAATGCCTGGCACTGATAATAGACTGATGTTCACTTTGAGGGAGATTTCTAATGACACCCGACAGGGCTGTCTCACTCAACAGCAATGACCTGAATGGAGATACTGAATGGAACCCATTTAAATCTGAGGGCAACACAGAATAGGGAGGGTTTGGATAACAGCACCAGGATCCACAATGTAGAACAAGGCTGGATGCAGCTTGATAACCTCATCACTTGGCTGCAAATCACTATCTCCATAGAAACAGGATTCGAAATGTTTGTTTGGCATCTGCCTCACATCAAGTGCTTTCCTGGGTCTGGGGACTCATTAACGTGTGGTCTGGGCCTAGGACCAGAGGAAAAGGGAGATGTACAGTTAGCCCTCTATATATGAGGGTTCCACATCCCTGGATTCAACCAATTGGGGATGGAAAACATTATAAAGAAAAACATTGGTTGTTGCTGACGTGCACTATGTATTTAGGCCTATGATGGTATGTCTGTAGTGAATATCTGCAGACTTTTGTTTTCATGTCATTATTTCCTAAACAATATAGTATAACAACTATTTACATAGCATTCACATTGTGTTAGATATGACAAGTAATCTAGAGATGATTTAAAAGTATACAGGAGGATGTGCATAGGTTATATGCAAATACTACATTATTTTATATAAGGGACTCAAGCATCCTCAGATTTTGGTATCCGTGGGGGGTCCTGTAACCATTCCCCATGGAACACTGAAGGACAATTATATATGCATGTAGTTGGGAGGGCTTTGGTCAGATAAAGTCTAATATGCATCTGTCCTGTGATAGGACCACCAAACAAATAATGTGGCCCTGGGCGGCTTGAAGTCTCCTATATACACAAAGCCAAGATCCTTTCTGTCCTGTGATGATGCATTCTTGTTTTTACTTCTGAACATTACAGATTAAGAAATCACATTCAAAAGAGAGTCCAGGGGATTGGGGACTGTGAAAGCAGATCCCAGGGGAAGAACTGTCCTAACAGGGCTGCCCAAAGCTGGAATGGATTTCCTTCGCCTATCCTTTGAACTTAAGAGGCTTGCACAATGCTGGTCACCTATTAACCCCTCAAATACGTGTTGAATGAATGAGTGAATTAATTAACGAGTTCTTCATTTCAGGAAGTATACGAGCAGAAAATGGAGACTTTTTTTTTTTTAATGCCTCCCCTTCAGGGGCTCAAACCCAGGTCTCCCACATGACAGGTGGGAGACTGGAGATTTTTAATGACTTAAGCTTCGAGTGGAAGATTAAGTTAGATGGTTTTAAAATTATGGGTGATTTTATGGTTTTCTGAGATGGAAAGTGGGAGGAAACAGTGGAGTTGACCAGGTAACAAGGCAGGCAAGGGTTTGGGGTCAGTGCTTCTCTGTGTTCTAGGAAAGTTTGATCCTGTCAATGAAGAACCCCATCATCCAGTTCGGTTTCCCAAATACCTGCGCTGCTATCGATGCCTCTTGGAGACCAAGGAGCTGGGATGCCTTCTGGGATCTGACATCTGCCTCGCCTCATCTGGCAGCAGCTGTATGACTCTCCTCATCAAGAACAGTAAGGCGCCTTCTCCTGTCCATCTTGGGCCCAGTCCATTCCCAAACTGAGTCTCTCTCTATCAATTTCCTAAGCTGCACTCCAAGTCTGGTTTCCACAACTCTAAGATACTGTTCCATTGTCATCTCTTTCCTTCAGAGCCACTTCACTTCCCCTACTCTACTTAGTCCACAGCTGATTGGCTTTCACCCTCCTCACAGCACCTAACCTTGTAGGGACCCTCAAGATCACCAGACCCATTGGCCTTTCCTCAGGCTGGCTTCTCCCCATGTCAGCGGTAGTTGCTGCCAGCATCTCTCTGCTTCTACCTGTTCCACTGCCTCTTCCCAGTCTCCTTCAGTGAGTCTTGCCTCATTCTCCTTGACCCTTAGTAGTTCGTGTTCACCAAAATTTGGGCCTTAATTATCTTCCAGTGTCACTCTCCCAGATGTTTATCTGCTTTCTTGGCTTCAACTAGCAGCTACATACTGCTTCCTCCTGAATCTGAGTGTTTTGTCACACTGTCATGTCAAATGGCCCTCTGGACATCTCCACCTCACTTTCAACTTGCCAAAAATTGACTATATTTCTTTGTTTTTCATGCCTGCTCTTCCACCCAGTTCCTTACCTTTTGAAACTTAGCAAACACATAATACACCCTATGTGCCAGGTACTATTTTAACCACTTAGTGCCTGAAGCTGCCTTTATTCAAATCCTTCTATTATACTTTTAAAATAGCTGACACATAGACATAGTTCAATAATGGAGTATTCAAGGGGGTCAAAGAAAATTATCCCTCCCACTCCTTGCCTAATCTGCCCAGCTTCCATGTACACAACACAAAACCACTCTTACTGTCTTAATTACTTTCTGTGATCTTTTTGTAGATATTCCACCTTATACAAATATGCTGTTTACTCTATCTTCATTTGTTTTCCCCAGGCCCCACAAACAGTAGCACAAACCGTTCTGCATTTGCTTTTTAAACTTAACAGTTATGAGAACTTAATATCAGTTTGTAAACAGCTTCCTTGTCTCGTTGACCTGCTGCATAGTACACCATGTAGGGGCATGTCAAAGTCTATCTATGCATCTCACTCTTAATAGACCATTAGGTTACTTCTACTTTTCCACTCTCGAGCAGGGCAGCAGTGAACATCCCCTCATGTACATATACATATACACATGTAGCAGCAAACATCTTCTCTTTTAATCCATAAAATAAAGAACAAATACCTTTTCTCTGCAATCTGAACTCCAATACACCTCCCAGCTTTTTCTTACCATGGTCCCACCCAAAATGCTGGTTCTTCCTACTTCTTTCCACAAGTCACAACTCAGCCCACTCCAACTGTCACTGTTTCAGATGGTTCTTTCCCACCAATCTTCCATGGGAAACTTGTGTAGCGTTCATGGTTGGTGACTCCCCGGCACTCCCTGTCCCTGCCCAGGAACCTTTGCCTTTTGCAGGTCCAGGAAAGGGTGTGGGGGGCAGTGATGATAAGTCTATGTGGAGTGAGGGGATGAGAAGATTTGGGGCTTTGCCTGGGATCTCTGTATCTCTAGTTGCTGCTGTCTCTCCCCAGGCAGTGGTTCTGACATCATGGTGAGTGACTGCCGCCGCAAGGAACAGATGAGTGATTGCTCATATACCCGTACTTCTCCGGTATTTGGCTTCTGGATATTCTCTCGATGCTGCTTTAGGAATTTCTGCAATAACCCACAGAACAGAGTGTTCTATATTCCATAGAACCTCTGCAGAGACCTTTGGAGTAAAATGCCAGAAGTTTCCAGCCAGCCTCTTGGTCCACACCTAGGCACAGCCAGAACAGCTTCCAGTCCCTCCCACTATCCCTCCTGCCTCCCTCAGGTTACCAGACCCTAGCCTTAGCTGCTTCTTGCTTGACATCCCTCAACAATTCCATTCCCACTCTGCCCCTCCCCAGGTTCCTTCTCAAGATGTCTCTGGAGTTTTCCCTTCAAGTCCTCACAGCCTGACACCTTTCCTCCTCTCTTCTCCCACCTCTAGACGGTCTCTGCTCCACTTTGCTCCTTTTCCCTTTCTCCCACCACAGGCCTCTCACCAAGCATTCCTCCAAAATAAATTTGTGTACAAACTGTATGGTTTGTCTATCTTTTCTGGTGGAGGTGGAGGCTGAGGTAGGAGGTCCTGCCTATCGCATTGTGGGGACAGGTGAGACGCCCAGCTCCTTGACGTCTCTGATTCAGCCCTATGCACAAAAAGGTGAATACTTAGAAGTGGGTACAATAAAGGCCAAAAGGGCAGTGGGCATGCTTGTTAGTACTGTCAGATCCAAGGCTGTGTAGGGACTGCAGGGGAGGTCCATGGGGATAGGGGGTGACTGTGTTGGTGGGAGTAGTGCTGTGAAAGGACTAGACCCAGGGAGGATACCCTGAGGGAAAAATGCTAGGCCTAGTGGAGCCCTGGGCTCTCTGATTCCAGGTTCAGGACCGTGGTAAGTTATCTTCAATTTTGGACCTTGGGTTCCTCAGCCTCTGAGGCTATCTTCCAGTTTTGCTTCCAATTTGTATAAAACCAGGCCTGTCTTCTACTGAAGTCAGAGGTCATAGGGAAAAGTGGGCCCAGCAAGAGAAGGACACATAGAATAATTGTACCTCCTACTGCCTCTGACTTAAAAATTAATGTTGGCATTATCTCCCATGTATCACACATGTTAACATATGTGCCAAACATTGTGTAAATAAGAGTACATGCTCTATGATGCCACTAATATCAAGCACACAGACAGAATCCATCTGAGCTGCTCCAACACAGGACAGTGACTACCACTGAGTTGGGAAGACTGCCTGGGAGGGTACTTGGAAACAGCTTTGGGGACTGTTAAAGGTTTTTATGCTGACTTGGAAACTGGTAACACAAATGGGTAGCTTACAAAAGCCCATCTGACGGTATGTGCAAGCTTCTGAACGTTTTGCACAAAAGGTTTAAAAAAAATAGGCCAAAATCTGTTTCTAACCATGTGTCTATTTTTGAGGTCCTATCTTGCATTGTGTACACATTTACATGCATCCTCTCAATCCTATAAGGCACAGCCCTACTTGACAGGTGACCAAAGTGAGGCAGAAATACAACTTACCCAAGTGGCAGAAGAGCTGAAATTGGGCCTCCTGGCCATAAAGCTGTAATACTTTTCAGAAAAAGGTTTCATAACCCCAGCACTGGATTAGA